TGAGCCGCGTAAAAGGGCAATGTCTCTCTCTCTATTTCACTCTCTCGCTCTCCGAGCCTCTCTCTATTTATACTTCATCTGAGCTCAGTGGGAAAAAGAGTGCGCGCAGGGGAAATAAACAGCGCAGCGGTATCACATCAGTGTTGAAAAGTGCGCAAATACTCGAGCTGGGTGCCGGCAGCCAACCCGCTATGAAAAATTACTCACACACACACACACACACACATCCCTATTAATATACATATGTATATGCATTTATATTCGCAAACAAAGACAGCGCGCTCAGTTTAGTGCAAGCAAGCACCTTTCATCAAATGCAAATGACGAATCATCTTTGGCTCAGCGCTCAATTGAGTGACTAATCCACCTGAGCACATTTCATTTCAGATGACTCACAAATTAATCGAAATTTTTGCTTCTGATAATGCACAGCAACCCAGCCCAAAAGCAATCTGTCCAGATGTGCCTAATTGCGCTATAAATAATTAACTTTTCTGACAGCATCTCGGCTAGTTTCTTATCAGCCAGTTTGATGGCTACTGCACAACAGTTTTACAGTCACTTGGGTTTTTTTTTTTTTAGTTTTACGTTTGTGTATGTGGGTGACTGAGACAGACGGTTGAGAGGCTGAAGCTGAGCAGTGGAGAGCTGCGCAATCGGCTGTATTGGTGACAGCTGAAGAGAGGAGAGAGAAAGATAGAGCGATTGTAAAGAGAGAGCGCATTCAGGGGGTGCACACCCATAGAGGGTGGGAGTTGCTTTATTAAACGAAATAAAAGTATAAATGGCGGACGGCCAGTGAAAAGTACTGAAAATCCAGAAGGAAACAAAGAATTCAAAATATATACTAAAACTAATAGAGCACTAGATAAAAAAAATTATTGAAATAATACTTTAAAATAATTTGTATTGCCTGTAAAAATTAATCTGGTATGCTGTTGATTTTGTGTTAATATTTTCTTTCTTTTTTTTTGATGACCTTTACATACTTAAATTTGAAGTCTTAAAAATTAAAACAAATTTTGACGTTTGAGGAACTTTTTAATTTCCAAGTATGCCAATATTATAATAAATTTTGAATGTTTTTGGAATTTCTGAAATTGATAGAGTTTGTTAATTTAATGTCAAGAATATAAGAAATTTGTAATGTTTGTACGCTGCTGAAATTCATTAATTCATCTGGAACAGTTAAAGGAAAAGTCCTCCTGGGTTATATACATTTGCCTAACACTATTGAACTCTCTTTGTGTGAGTGGGTGCTGCTGCTGCTACTCTGCATATGTACGTATATGTGACCAATTCAAGAAACAGTCCGCCTGGGATATTCAGTTTTGCCTAACACTATTGTAGCTCTCTTTGTTTGAGTGGGAGCTGTTGCTGTGTAAGTGTGTGTGTGTGTGTGTGAGTGAGTGAGGATACACTGGTTCTGTTGGTCACACCCTTGAACTTGGTAAAGAAAAGATTCAGTGTCGAAAAGCCGACTTCTCAGATAAAATTGTGTTCTGGGCAAGATTTGTGAACTGAATGGTATTAACGGTTAACAATACTCACCTCAAAGCCATTAGACTGCGCCCAAATGTTGCCATCGTGTCCGGCAATGCACGCCTTGTTAACGCACTGCGAGGCCAAAAGTTGGTTATCGACATAATCTTGCCAGCTCATGATTGTAGTTTGTTGTATTTGTTGTTGTGGTTGTTAAAAACTATTAAATATAGGGTATTAAGTATTTGTTGTATTTTACACACACGCGTTGCTTGTTTCAATTTTTTGTTGCTGTTGTTGTTACACACTATTCACGCCACTAAGAAATTTAGTTAAGCGAGAGCGAGAAAATCGTCGAATTTCTACGTAATTTAAGAAAACTTATTTAAACTGTAATGAGAGAGGGTAGAAATAGAGATAGATATAAGATGAAATTAACGATAATTTTGCGATTTTAAACTTTACTCCTTTGGATGAAAATGTGAAATTTTGCGATTTTTTTTTTTTTTTTTGGTTTGTGCGTCGCATCAGTCGACTTTTAATGGGAGACTCGAAAAGCAGTGCATACTTCTTTTTCTTTCTTTTTATTTTATATATATATTTTTTAATTTGCTGTTTCTTCAAAAAAGCGCACACACACTAGCACATCCAACGAGAGATAGCACACACACACACAAGCACACTCTGAACAGAGGGTAAAACGTACGTAGCAGCAGCAACGGCAGCCCCAACACGTCCGACTTGCACAGAATGACAAAAACGATTGAATGCAAAATGTTGTTTAGTGGCTCCAAGCATGGAAAATTGAGAAGAAAAAAACACTCAGAGCGCGCGTGAGTCACAGCTGCCGCCGCCGCCGACGCTTAACACTCGGCACTCACCCACCGATTCTTCACTCGGTGAGTGCAATGCCAAAAACTGTGCGCTGGAGTTTGTGTGCGAGTGAAATGGCATATATGGCCGTTATAAATCGCCGGTCGCGCAATGCAAATGAGTGAGTGAGAGCAGGCGATGACTCAACAGTCTCAAGTCTTCTTGCCTGTTTCTAAGAGAGTATATACATATACATATATATATATGTATAGATATATATGCATCTGTGTGTGTGGCGTGTGGATATATATGTGTGTGTTATGAATCGGCCTTTTCTGGCGCAGCTTGAGTGTTTTTTTGGCCGGTCGAGTAGCCGACGACGATGGACAATCATAAATTAAAAATAGATTTATAAAATTTAAAATGTAGATTTCTTTGCATATATACGAACTTTTACATTTATCTATATCTTCTGTAAAGTCAACTCAACAAAGAGCTCATCGAAAAAAAAAACAAAATCGCAAGGCCAGCCACCAATTTTTGACCATAAAGACTTAATACTTGCAATGGCAGCAAGATACCGACCGGCTGCTTAACTTTTTCATTTCTTTTTTGCACACTTTATATATGTACATACACTAATATACGTGGGTATATACATATGCGCACAGCCAACGCCGTCGGCGAATACACGCATATGTGAGAGTGTATGAGTGTGAGTGAGTCGGCCTTTCATTTGTAACTTGACATTTAATTTGAACTACGCCTTGCTGCTTACATTGTTGTTGTTACTATGACTGCTGGACACACAAACATGGGTTAAAATATGCACACATCTAACAATTTGTAATTAATACGCTTAATTTTTTTAAATCCAAAGCTAACTCACACTTTTCACACGCTGTGCGATGCGGCGATGAAATTATACTGACTGTAGGCAACCAGAAACATCGATAGTATATGAAAATCGATATTTTCTTATCGCTTTTGTACAACACGGCGAATTTATATTCGATACATATAAAAGTATTATTAAAAAACGACTTAGGATTACTTTGTAAAATAAGTTGATTGCTTATGAATCTCTACTCACATTACAGCAGTGTTAGTTTATGTTATTCACTTCAAAGTTGTTTTTTTTTTTTTTTTCAAACTATATATTTATAAATACCAAATAAACAAATGGAAAAATACTATAGTTCGATAGGAGTAGGATCGATATACATATAAGTAAAAATGTTTTCGAAATATTGAAAACTATAATTAATAAACTATTAATATATTAATTCAGTCGGGAGGAGACATTGAATTGTGTTAATTTAATTGAAATCGGTTTCAGCGAAAATCAGCACCAATGACATGATGTTTGTATATCGATAGCTGCTATTGATAGTTTTATAATTAATCTTTTCAAGTATTTCATATATGTATTTATTTACAAAAGTAATTACAAGATTGTTAAAATGAGCACCCCCCTTGTAGTCTGCGTAAAATCGTCTGGAATAATTCGATAGTTGAAGCTTGATATATCGATAACGGGTATGCTTTCCTTACATCACTAAAAGTTTTGCAAGATGGAGCCTCTTTTGCTTGGTTTTAACAATCAGCAGCACGTGTATAAAAAGTGCCAAAAAATAATCAGAAAATGTTAGTATTATTTAACGATTTAATTCATAAGAAGTGAAATACAATTTAACAAGGCAGTTTGCAAAATTTTGCTGACAAAATTAAGCCAGTTTAAGTGAGCAATAGTACTAAAAATTGCATTCGAAAATTTAACCCAAAATGTGAAACACAAATCAAAAAGAATTTTTACACGACGACGGCGGACGTTGCGGCACGAGTGACTGGCATTGACGAAGAGAGAGAGAGAGAGAGAGCGAGAATATGAACAAGAGAGAATTCAGTGGTTGTTGATGGTGTGCGTTGGGTCAAAGATATATACTTATATATATTTTCTTTTGGAATGACACAGGCTTAATAAATAACAAAGATAATTCAGCATCCACTGAATCCCATGCGAGGTCAAATGAGTTTATTGCTATGCATAAAATAAGTTCGTCTGGATCGCCGCAAAATGAAATCATTGCAATAAATTACGGTTCGCTCGCTCTCTCTTTATCACAGACACACACACAGCCTGACACATACTTTGGCTCATAAGCACTGACTGGACAGTAAAATGGACAATGACTACCTATAGCGATTCAATGCCAACGCTGCTATCGCCAACTACTTATTCATATTTATATCTACACACGCCTAATTGTGAAATGCGGGGAATTCACAGAATCTTGGTGGTTGTGCCGATTTACTCTCTACGCTTCTCAACCTCACCCTCTACGCGTTCATTCGCTCTTGCAAGTGGTTGAAACGCACGCCTTAAAATTGCCTGTTGGCTTACTATTTTCTTGCCTGCTTCACTAATACCTTTTTTTTTTGCTTACTTTATGCTACTATTTTCCAAGTACTACGCACATGCAACACTGCAGTTAAGAGTTTATAGCTTCCTACTGCTCTGACGCACACACACATACACGAACTGAGCAACCACTGACATTGACACATCTAGTGTACTCTTTCGCACACACACACACTCGACAGACGCTGCTCAAAAGGCCGCCTAGCGGTCGTTAAAACTCACACTGGCATTCGCTCGCAATCGTGAAAATACCGCAGAGCAGCACGCACAACAAAACACGTTTGTGTGCACTCTGTAGAAAAAAATTTTCGTTACAAATTTTTTGACACAACTAATACAGAAATTGTTTAACTGAACGGTGCTAAAGCCGTCGAAATTCAGTATACAAATTTAACTAGTCAATTTTTTATTGTTGATAATGTAAGTGTTATACTGCCGCCGCCAACGTTGCCGCTGCTGCTGGGCCAGCTCGCCTGCTTTGCCTGCTGGCTAAACGCCGCTGTCACCACCGACCTGTCTTTGTCGCCGTTTTTGCTACCTTGGTTGCCAAGCGCAGATTCGCCATAACCAAAAAAAAAAAAAAAAAAACCAAAAAAAAAAATTTTTAATTTTAGTGCATTACTGACATCGTTTTGTGCGTTTTCGTTTCTCTTTGTTCTTTTCTCATTTTTTTTTTTTCGTTTGTCTTTCCATAGGGATGATCGAAGTGAAATACCTCAAGATGGTCCCGCTGGTATGGACCCTGAGGGCGTCATCGAGTCGACCTGGCATGAAGTCTACGATAATTTCGATGACATGAACTTGCGCGAGGAGCTGCTGCGCGGCATCTACGGCTATGGTTTCGAGAAGCCATCGGCCATTCAACAGCGCGCTATCATTCCTTGCGTGAAGGGTCGCGATGTCATTGCCCAGGCCCAATCGGGTGAGTAACTCATTTATACAACAAAAAAATGAAAACAAATTTTTGCTTCAATGTGAAAGTGTAGAAATTTTGTATTTTCTGTTATGAGGGCGCAGCGTATGATGACGATAACGGTGACTCAGCTGTCTACTGCACCAGCAGCTTGTGCTCGCTCTCTCGTTTGAAACTCTCACTAATACATATGCACTTTCCCTACTCTTATGCTCTCCCAGTCTCTCATACTGAGCGCTTGCGCGCCACTTTTGCGATCGTCTTTGCCGCGTTTTTATGTGCTCTAGAACGGCGTTGCTCATACTCAGCACAAAAAAAAAAAAAAATAATAATACATTTGTATATGTGTATGTATTTGTATGTACATGTATGCAAGCATATGTTAGCCAAAAACGCAATTAATTTTCGAGTATCTTCTACATAGATCAAGTCAGAGTTTTGCATAGAAAGCTTTTTAAACGGATTTATTTACTTAGCTGACGATTTTATATTCTTGTTTTTGTTCTGAATTCTTATTTTAAAAAGATTTCATATTTGCAAATCAACTCAAAACCAAAGAAAACAATAAAAAAAATCTTGAGCTCAGAAATTGTGGCTAACGATTTTTTAACTTCCCCAGTCTCATTGTATGAACCTTAAAAAGTAAAGTAGGGATAAATATCTGTTTTTGTTTATGTCTATCGAGAAAATGAGAAAGTATGAACAAAAGTTGCACTTAATTATGTAATATATTATGAAATGTATTAATCATAGCAAATTTAATGTCTATTTAAAGCTTGTTTTATATGCACTAAATTATGTATTATAATTATAAAAGATTGGATTCAAATACTTGAAGGCATAAATTAGTCAGTTCTTGTTTTCATAGCCTAAGAATGCAATGGAATGGATTATCGTATAATAAATTAGTCTTTAGCTGCTATTTTTATTTTACTTGGAAATGATTGTTTTACAATACATTATACAGACAAATATTCCTTTAGTCTATCGTCCGCAGGGTTATGTAACTTATGAACGATCTTGTGTTAATCAGGCATTATTGAGAGCTCAACATTCTGTTTAGCGAACGATTATACAATGATGCCATTTAGACAATTGTATATTATAGACTCTATAATATTATAAATTTTTATCTTTACTAGTTTCTGTGATTTGTATTCTCTACTAATTATTAAAAATGGTTTTTTTGTTCGCTATCGCTTGTAGGTACTGGCAAGACTGCCACCTTCTCGATTGCCATTCTTCAGCAAATCGACACGTCCATTCGCGAATGCCAGGCTTTGATCTTGGCACCCACTCGCGAGTTGGCCACCCAAATTCAGCGTGTGGTCATGGCACTTGGAGAGTACATGAAGGTGCATTCGCATGCCTGCATTGGCGGCACCAATGTGCGCGAGGATGCTCGCATTTTGGAATCCGGCTGCCATGTGGTGGTTGGCACACCCGGTCGTGTCTATGACATGATCAATCGCAAGGTATTGCGCACGCAGTTCATCAAGTTGTTCGTGCTGGATGAGGCCGATGAGATGTTGTCGCGCGGCTTCAAGGATCAAATCCAGGATGTGTTCAAGATGCTGCCACCAGATGTGCAAGTGATCTTGCTGTCAGCCACCATGCCACCCGATGTGCTCGAAGTGAGCCGTTGCTTTATGCGTGAGCCAGTTAGCATTCTTGTGAAGAAGGAGGAGCTGACCCTTGAGGGTATCAAGCAGTTCTACGTGAACGTTAAGCAGGAGAACTGGAAGTTGGGCACATTGTGCGATCTGTACGATACGCTGTCCATTACCCAGTCGGTTATCTTCTGTAATACCCGTCGCAAGGTAAGCAAACCTGATCCCTGACCCATTGCCCCAGCTAATACTTTTTTGTTATACCCATCAGGTCGATCAGCTCACCCAGGAAATGACTAGCCACAACTTTACCGTGTCGGCCATGCATGGTGACATGGAGCAACGCGATCGTGAGGTTATCATGAAACAATTCCGTTCGGGCTCTTCCCGTGTTCTGATTACCACTGATTTATTGGCGCGTGGTATTGATGTGCAGCAGGTATCGTTGGTCATCAACTACGATCTGCCCTCGAATCGCGAGAACTATATTCATAGGTAAATTAAATATATTAATCGATGATCACCTATCTAAATCTATAAATTCCTGTTCAATTTCAGAATCGGTCGCGGTGGTCGTTTCGGTCGTAAGGGTGTTGCGATCAACTTCATTACTGATGATGATCGACGAATCCTGAAGGATATTGAACAATTCTATCACACTACTATTGAGGAAATGCCTGCTAATATTGCCGATTTGATTTAAATATTTTGTTGAGCAAAAAAAAAATTAAGAAAATTAATACAAAATAAAACAAGAAAAAGTGAGTGAGCTCTTCTACAGCAAGGAGTTGCGAGAAAAGTGCGCAAAATATATTAAAAACGAAAAACAAAAATAATAAGAACTTGAGAATTAAAATTAAATATTTATTTAAACAAGAATACAAACAGCAGGAGCAACAACAACAGCTGCATCGGCAAGGCGACAACAAGAGAAACAACAACATCCAACAATCAAATCCTATCAGCATCAACATCAGCTGGCTGGCGCTTTGCTCAAATCCTCAATTCCTATACCAACCAACCAAACCAACAGAAGTAGAACAGCTGTAACATCAGATATTTAAACACTGCGTCGTCAACAAGCAACAAACAACAACA